TTTATAAATATATAATTTTTTTAAAAAAATACGAAATTTTTTAAAAAAATAATAATATATTTATTTTATAAAATATTATTTTATCGAAAAATCTATATATTATATTTCTAAATATAAATATAATATTTATAATAAATATAAAATATATTTAAATATATATATTTATTATTTATGATTTTTAATATATTATTAATTTCTATTTATTTTAAAATATATTTATATTTAATATTCATTACAATTTCTTAAATAATATAATAATTATTTAAATATTATTGATTTTCTAAATTTTAGAAATTATTTATATTTATTATATATGATATAAATAATCAATGATTAATTATTCAAAATATCGAATTATTTATACATAATATAATTCTTTATTATATTTTAAATTTATAAATTTTTGATTTGTATTATTAAACATAAAATTAATTTAAATATATATATATAATTAATATTTAATAAATATTTAAATCGATTCGATTTAATAAATATATATTAAAATATATTAAATTTATGTTCAATAAATATATATATTATAATAATATATATTATTAAAATTATATATTAATTTATAATTCCTTCATTACCGTATAAATATAAATATTAAATTTTTATTTTTATTTTTTGGTCCATAATATTTATATTTTATTAATATTAATATATATTTAATTTCCAGAATATTAATATTATTATCTTTTTCATTATCTTCAATAGTCCAATGATCATATTATATTTATTTTGATAATGTGTTCGATTTATTTTTATCGGTCGTACCGCAGGGGCAATGCTTTGTCGTCCTGATCCACCCTAGTGATGATGGATTTGGGCGGCCACGCGGCGGACAATTTCGAGGTTCAGATATACGATAATTATTTCATAAGAATATGATGATCTTGGTAATCTTGGTAATCATGGTGATTATGGTAATTATAAAAATTATGGTGATCATGGAGATTATGGTGATTTTAGTGACCATGGTGATTATGGTAATCACGATAATTATAATAAATATAATAATCATGGTATTAATATCGAATATGGGGATTATAATAATTATGATAATAATCATTATCATGGTAATAATAATTATTATTATAATTATGTTAAATATATATATTTTTTTACCTTATTATTATCCATTTAATTGTCCATATTATTTAATTTATTTTTATTATTTTTATCCTTATCAATATCAATATTTTCCTATACCTTATTATATTATAATATTATTATTTTTATCATTATTATCATTATTAATATTAATATCATATATTATAACAAAAAACCCTCCCAATTTCCTGCATTATTTAAGATTTCTTGCCCAAATAAATTTCAAATATATATATATATATATTTATAAATTATCTCAATAAAAAACAAAAATTGCTAAGCAAAATCAAAAGAAAATATATTATAATACCGGGTTCTTCAAAAAAAACAGCCATCCCATGAAGTACCACACCACAGAGGTCATG